AGTTTCCGAAAAAAACGCTTAAACACGTATATTTTATTTTGTTTTTTTACATATTTTAAGATTTTTTAAAAATGTATACAGGGTGTTTCATAAAATATGACCATTGAGTAATCACGATTCTGCTTAAACTGCTTGACGTTTAAAGCTGATTTTTGGCAAATGGATTGACTGTGGGGTGTAGAGGTTCGAAGGGGGGGTTTCTCGAATCTCAAATTCCAAGAGGGTGAAAACGCCCCCCAAATATTACAATATTTGTTATTTAAAAAACGGTTAGTCTTTCGGGAAAATGCTTGGATACGCACAGTTTATTTTGTTTTTTACATATTTTGAATTTTTTTCAAAAATCATACAGGGTGTTCCAAAAAGTTGGGTAATTGATTAACCACGATTCTGCTTAAACTGCTTGACGTAAAAAGTTTATTTTTGGCAAACGGATTTTTCGAAAGCCAAATTCCAACGAGATGAAACTACCCCTCAAATATTACCAAGTTGTATAATCATATCGTCATATTGTTTTTTCTCATGCTGACATAAATGTGAGAAAATTTTATCCAGTTTGTATGTTAATGGAAATTCTTTGCTTTATCATCACCATTACAAAATGATTAATTCGACGAGAACGAAGTCGCGGGTACACGCTAGTTTACATATAAAATGACAGCGATCTCCATTTCGTAGCCATCGCTGACGCCGTTTTTTTTTCGATCTTACGGTAGTTGGATACGGACGATTTGTTATGAAAATAAATCAGGATTTATATCAAAAATTGAATTAAATTCTTAAAGCTCCTTAACATAAATAATGTAAACAAAAAAAGTTGTTCTAACAAGTAGTAGTAAATAGACAGGTAGTCTTTTGTCTGACTGGTAGTCTGATAGAGTTGTTGTCTGTCATTTTAATTCAGAGGAAAATTGCATTTTCTGTCATTGTTTCTATACTGGCTCACCCCTATAACTTTTTTTTTTGGATAAAACGAGATTTGGTATGTTAGTAATATGACATAAATTAGGATTGACGTATTCAATTGTTTTTGGTCACTTCCTGTTTCACCCAAGATGTCTACAACTTTATATTTTTCCCTCGGTATATTTCTACTTTATTCGATGGAAAATGACACTGTGAATAGAATGACATATAATGTGTCAACTTTTGACAATTTTCGCATATGGTTGATTTGAAATTGTAACATGCGGTTCATTATTCGTAAAAAAAATGCTTTTTCCAAATATGCTAATGAGCCACCCTCGTTCCATTTTAAAAAATTGAGATATGATTAAAAATACAATTTGGGCATCTTTAAACCGGCCAGGACAGGACACGAAAAACATTAGACGGCCAAATCTATTTTTCCAAGGCTCCTTGATTAAACCCTTAAATCAAAGTGATGGAGATCAATTCTATAAACATTTTAGAAAAAAAAGCTTCAAAATAAGCTTAAAATTAATTGATTTGTTAGCTGAAGATTTTGGCTCGAGAAAAAAATCGGACAATATAAGCTTTTAATTTTTTTTCTCTCTAAAAACTAGTTGTTTTCCGATAAATCTATATTTATTTTATGACCTGTCGAGCGTTTAGCGCATCCGTGGGCGTCGATTAGCGCAAAATTCGCTACTAAATTTCGTAGATTGTTTGTATTTTTCGAAAAAGTGAAAAAAACTGAATATTTCTTTCGAAAATAGAACGGAACAACTCAGTAAAACACCAAATATTTTATAAATTGAATGCTTAACAATATTAAAATATCGCATTTTTGAAACTATTTAACTGTCTTGTATTTTTTTACATTAATTGTAACAAAAAAACCATACAATGCTTTTGATCAAATCGGTGTGAGGAACTATGAAGCTAAACTATGAAGCTGTGGGAAACTATAGAGAGTTGAATATCCGGGAAAGTTGAATTATTGAATGTTATTGCTTTACACGTTAACATTTTCTTGGCAATTTTATTAATATCAAATTGTCACAACTCACATCACAACAAGACGCCTAGTACGAAATCTGTCTAAAAAAACTCTTCCGGTTTTCTGCATGTAGAATAATTTGTTCATATTCAAGTTATAAATTTTGTTATAATATAACTTTAATGAACTCAACAAAATAATTATTTCCCGAACCAATCATGTTATTTCCTTCTTTTGTGATAATTAAGCATAAGTTTTGCTCTATTTTTTCTTAAATATGTAGGTTAACTAACCTTCGAACACCTTTGAAGTAATATTTCACCTAGTTTTATTTTATTTTTTTCCTTTATTTATTTTTAGGAATCGAGTTAAATTTAGTACCAGAGGCTCGCCTAATGACATCTGTCCCATTATTTATTGTCATATTTTTTTATTGTCTCGTTGGAGCATTTTGAATTGTATGAATAATATGTACAGTGTGTCCCACGTGTCCTTGACGGATTTATGTATTGTTTTTGAAAATAAACAATTGTGGTCTTTGGGGAACTTTCTACAATAGGCTAATTCATATTACATCATAATTACCATATTCAGCTTCTTTGTATCTTTGTTATCTTTAACTAAAGGGTATAGCCGGAAACTGTTTTTTCAATTTTATTTTATTTTTAGTAGTAAAATTCAAAATTAATTAATGACGATTTTTTGTAATTTTTAGAAGTCTAAGACATGAAAAATTAAGATAATGATTCTTAAACGAAAAGCCCATTTTAGCGGAGGAAAGAAATTAAAATCTTTATTTTTTAACCTTTGTGAAATATGTCACAAACTAAAAATCGCCAGAAAATGTCTTTATGCTTCTTTACACTCAGGAATTTTTTAGAATTTTTTGAAGTGGTGGAACAATATGAAAAAAAAATTAAAAACTCATTAAATTTTTTTTTTTAAATGTTCTGTTTTAACTTAACTCATATTTTTTGTTTAGTTTAAAAGTGCGTTAGAAAATATTTTTCATTAAAAATACATCCTTGCTGTGAAATAAACAAAGATTTCATTATAAAAAATGAGTCCGAGATTTAGAGTTTTTCTTGTGAATTAAAATGACAGACACAACTGTCACTTGTCAGGGATCCACTCCCTTGGACAGACTATAGTGTTATTATGATATTGTTAATTCTATTTTGAATTTTTTATTTCAGGTTTGACATAATAAAGAAACTAGGGCAAGGAACTTTGGCAAAGTGCAGCTAGGAATCAACAAAGAGACTGGACAAGAGGTTTTTATCCAAAATTGTATTATTTACAATAAGAACTTTGAATTAAAATATTTCTTGTTTCAGGTCGCAATTAAGACTATAAAGAAATCAAAAATTGAGTCTGACGCAGATCTTATTAGAATTAGGCGAGAGATTCAAATTATGTCTTCAGTACAACATCCTAACATTATACACATATATGAAGGTATAAACAAATTAAAGAAAATACACTCTTTGTCAAAATTAATGCATATTTTAGTTAGTAATGAAAGGCAGAAAATATGAAGCTGCGTCCACATTGCTTGCGATCAGGCCAAACGAACACGTGACACACGAAAAACATGGCAAACAGTCGCAGCGAGATGTTCGCGACGCTCGCGGTGCTCCACGTGCTTGCGATCTCATAAAATGCTTGTTTCGACTGTTCGGCTCTGTCGCGGTACATCAAAGAGACGCTTCGGACCCATGCGAGCATACCGTACGGCGCGCGGCGCAAAGCGCTCGATGTTTGTTAAGTTTTTAGTTGGTTTCATTCATAGGATTCGGTATTTACTGTAGTATGATGATACTACCATCATTTTTCTAATTTTATTTTGTTCAAAATTACAAATATTTATGTTTTGTTCTTGGATTAATAATATTAAATATACCTTTAATAAAATATAACTCTATATTTATATTGCCTACTTATCATAATCTGATCTTTGAGAACTTTAGTTATATTTTGGCACACGCCTGGTATTATTTTTGAAATGCTTTGCTTGGAAACTGAATAAATAACCCAAACTAGTATGTGAGTCTCTAGTTGCAAAGAATCTTAATGTTATGGCCAATCTTTATTTAACTCTTTCTTTAACCGGAATACACTTAAAAGTTGTATTTTTCTTTCTATACTGGGGCCAATTAAGGTAATAACTCTTTCAAAATCAGTAGTGGACATGCGATAAAAAAATATTAAAAAACATTCTGTCTGTTTGTAAATCGCGTAGATGTTTACTTTCACTGTGCTGGAATCTACTTTTGAAATTATTAGACATCCAACACCGCCATTTTCTCTCTTTGTCTCCTTTGTTTTGTAATAATGATCGCACTAGCAGCCATTATTAAAAATACTTCGGTATCATCAATGTCTGAACAGCACGATCGCAAGCACTTCATTACAATCTGGACTCCGTTGCTTGCGAGCCGAAAGATCTTGAGAAACACAACGAACAGGAAGCGCAAGCAACGCAAGCACGATCAG